ATGTGGGCGACAAGGAGGACAGCAGGGACTTAAAACTGGGAAAGCTAAATAGCAGTTGTTAACAATGGGAACTAAAAGTGAATATAGATATTGTAATAGATCTCTGAATTTTGTAACGAGAAGATGCCGATTAGAGACTAAACAATGAGGAAGAAAAAAAATGTTGAGCTGTGAATGACTGTCACTGGGGGGAGGAGGGAGGGGAGGGTTTGTATGTTTGTATGCCAAAATATTTCCTGGGTTATCTCCACTGTGTTGGAAATGTGGAAGAAGGGATGACACATTCTACCATATTTGGTGGTCCTGTATTGAGGCCACAAAATACTGGAGAAGGATTCAAAAATGGCTAAAAGAGGTTACCGGGGCAATGGAAACCCGAGACATTTTTATTAAGCATAAAACCAGAAAACATGAGTAAAGGTGTTGAGGACCAAGTTATTGTCTCCACATCATGAAAGCAGCACTACAGAGGGTCTTTCTGAAACATTGGCTATGCTTTGGAAATGTTGATTAGGAACAACACTGGGGAAAAAGTTTGTGTGAAACCTTGCCATTGCTCTGCTTAATTCAGAAAAAAAACGGGAAGAGAATTACTTACAGAGGGGGCATGAATGACTTCTGGGAAGGATGCTCTTCAAAAGAATGTTCCTCCAGCACATATATAATCTGAGCTGTGATCCCACCAATGAGGAGGTTTCCTGGCTTATACCATTCATGGAGGAGATGAGAAGCATCACTTCTGGGGCAAGAGGTGGCATCTGCTTGGCACTCCATGTGAGTCAGCAACCACATGATCACTACATTCAACATATTTTGTTTTCTAGTGAAGCCTTGTTTCCTCCTGTCTAGAATCCCACCACTCAGTTTGGTGAAGCTGCGTCCCATCTACTACCAAATCTAGACTCACATCCAGTGCGAACACGCATAGTTATATCAGTCCTTGCCATTTCATTGGTTGAACTCAACACGCTTTGCAAAGCAAGCACATTCCAGTGAATGGAAATCACCACCAGACTCCAAAGGGACCAGATCCTTCCTGTCCCCTTTTCCTCAGCTGCGGAGGTGAGAGGTCTTTTTTTTTTATAACCTCTTCCGGACTGACTTTCTTCCGAATTGTTTCTGGGTATTTTGTGGAAAGATGCTGGAACCATGCCATAAAGCATCAATGAGAATCATTGACCTTAATTGCCCATAAATAGTCACCTCTAGCAAATGGCATCTCTTGGGTATGGAGAGCTATTATTTCACTTCCACTTTTCATATGGATGGAGGCAGCTGTCTCCTAAGCGTTTTAAGGCGATACCACAGAAAAATAATTGTATGTTATTGTTTCTGTTAAATTAATAATTACCCATGGGATTCTTCCCCAATCAAATACTTATGGGAGAAGTCTCTACTTTCTCAAAAGATATCTCTGTAGACAACTATGGAATAGAATAGAATAGAATAGNTGCTGGTACAATTTTAAAACGATGCTGAAAACATTATTGAGGGATGATAAATAGAGGGATTGATGGAGTGGTGGGATTCAAATAATTTAACAACCAGTTCTCTGCCCTAATGATTTCTTCCAACAAGCCATTTATCAAACTTCTCAGAAAGTTTTCCAACTGATTCTCTCGGACTGGTGTGAACCGGCTGAATCCCACCCCTGGATTGATGCAAGCAGAATACATTCAGTGAGGCAACCTTAGCAATGTGAATAATGCGATAGGCAATACCAGCGAAGAATATTTGAGTTATTGTGAAACTCAGATCTGTGAGTGGATTCGTTTGCGGGAAAATATGAAGGCTAAAACGTATGAAGAACAGTTTCAGGAACTGAGCATGTCTAGTTTGATGAAAAGAAGGACTAGGGGAGACATGATAGCAGTGTCCCAATATCTCAGGGGCTGCAGATAGGCTGGCTGTAGATAGGAGGGTAATGCAATATCCTTGGGAGATTGTAGTAATGTAGTGAGCTCTGCAGCTAAAAGACAATGGGTTAATCCTATTATGTCCTGAAGGGAAAATCTTTTGTTTTGTAGATAGTGATGAAAGAAATGTCCTTCTGGGTTCGGCTCCAAGAGGGGAAAAAGACACTGGAGACATGGAGGCTGCTTGGAAAGATGGTTTATTAGTGGACAGGACCACATGGCTTGAGTCCTGAACAGAAAAGGTGATCACGTGCTTCAATGTTGGTGGAGAAGAAGAGAAGGGCCAGCTGAGATACTGAGTCCCTGGTTTTATGCCCTCTCTGGCCTTTGATCTTGAGCTTGTATTCTGATAGGTTGTCAGACTCACGTGGAGCCATGCAGGGGCAACTCTCTAGGCTGGATTTTGAATCCAGGTTTGGGTTCTCAGATGCCATGTGGGGAGTTGGGTAAAGGGCCAATATTATCATGCCTTAATCCCATCCCCTGAAGAGGAGAACTCTTTATTATGTAAAGTGGACTAGCTGGGCCTTCTTAATGGCCCATTGACAAAGTGGGGATGGGCAGGAAGCTACCGGGGAGCTATT